GATGTCATCCCTTCCACTGGGCAATTTCAAAGTTCATACCACTTCTGAATGGTAGCCTGAAAGATGATCTCTTGGTAAAAAATGGTCCTGTTGCAGGTGTTCCCTATTTGAAAAGTTGATCCTTTAGCCATATGTCTTAAGTAAAATGAAGATGTTATAAGGTATCATATTCTCCTCAGCAGAATATCAAGCATTAAAAAAAAAAAGAAATTCAACCCTCTCCCAATAAAATCAAACCAAAAACCACAAAAAACCCCTGCCTGAAACAATACGAAATAAAATAAATGCGTATGAAGGTAAAACTAGAAATTTACCAGAGATCCATGTTTTCAGTAAGATATGTTTTCAAAAAATAGATTAAGTAAATGGAGTGAAAAACCTGTTTATATTTTTGCTATTTCTCAGCAAAATTCTTGACAACTTGGCATAATGTAGATCAAATGGGTAATTCATTTGGTAATTGTTTCTCTGATTCCATCATAAGCTCTTAGAAATCAAATGAGAGACAACTCAGCAGATACTGTTTTATGCTGAAAGTGTCCAGGAGAGCAATTCATCAGTCAAATATTTCTGCACTCTCAATAGTTGTAGGCTACAATCAAATTCACCAGAATATTTTTATCCCAAAAGAGTCAAGTTGCATAACTAGCATCCACAGCAGAAATATGCATACCAAAATGTCACTGATTTTAAAGATACTTTGAGATATTTGCTCAGTGTGAAGGAAGGCTGAAAGAAATCACTCTGACTGGAAATAACAAACACTTCACTCACTGAACCCTGAGGTCAGAGGCTCCTTATCGTGATCTCACTAATTCAAGAGGTCATTAACTTAAGAAATGTATATTATGGTTTAGGAACTGTTCCTGTTACATGGAGAAATGAAAAAAATTCATGCTGTAGTGGCTTGTGAGAAAATGAAAGAAAACTCCATATGAGTTTGATACTTCTTCAAAAATACAAGTTAATGGGAATTACCTCCTTCTGTGTCAGGAGATTCTTTTTTTTAATTATCAAAGAAGAGAATTTCTTTAAAAGCCTTGGTTGTTTTCAGCACAGGACTGTGTGCATTCCAAAAATGTATTTAAAAATTTAAAATTTGTCACCATCTACTGAATATTGAAAAACACTTTGTGCCTAGAGAGCTGCTACATCTAAAAGGATTAATAGCAAAAAAATAAGAAAAAAGCAAATAAATATCAAAGAAGAACAAATAAATATGGATTAAAAAGAAATGATCTTGATTAGATTTAGTGAAAGTTATAGCAAATAAGCAATACTAGAATTTATCTGCATCACAAGAAATATAGAAGAAAATAACAGCATTCCTTTCTGATTATTACTAAGTGGTAAAAGAAACAGCTGTAACATTTTTTTATAAATACAATTTTTCCCCTGGAGTATAGACTATGTTTGAGTTTCAAAATTAGCAATATAAAGTTAAATTTAGATTACTTGTTAACAAATAATTTTTAAGAAATCAACAATCACTCCAGAGATAAAATCAGTTATTTCTATTTAATGAAGATTAAAACAAAGTTGTTATTTACTCAGACACTGGAGAATAATTTCAGGTTCAACATTAGGTTCATCCTATGGTAAAACTAAGATAGTTGAGACCAACACTTTCAGCTGTGAGACGGTTCTTTTGACAACAGAAATAGGAGAATTACTCTTATTATATAAGTGAAACCAAAAATTTCTACTTATCCTTGATTAACTGTGAAGTTCCTAAAAGTTTTTTTTCAAATGCCCCTTAATTCAGGAGCTCATAAGGAAGAGTTCACTTCCATCCTTCAAAATGCTGGTGGCATGATGAAGACCAGCAAATATTTCCAAATATGCAAATATTTGCTTCTTATCTAAATAAATATGAAATATGAAAAAAATGAGGCTACTCACAGCAATAAAGCATACAGTTAAAAGCTCTGTAGTTTGAAAACCCCTGCTAATTCTGTTTGTAAACTTTACAAGTGACCTAAATAAAGTAGCATTTAATAAAAGGGTAAATACCATCATTGGGATAACAATTTCAAAAGGTATGTGACAACATATCCCAAAAGCAGCCAAAGAGAACTTCAAGTTCACTGAAAGGGACTTAATTTTGCAAGAAATAATTGCTTCACTTCTTTTCAGACTGTGGTGGTCACAGGCTTGACAGAAATGGTTCACAGATATTGAAATGTTGATGACTCCTGCATACTGCAGCATTACAGAAGAAATAATGTCTCAAAAAATTTATTCAGAGGCTTCAAGCAATTAAAAAGCTATTCACCTTTTTTCAATCTTTATTCAGTCACACATAGTGGCAAGACTACTTTTATATTCAGCTTTGGCTTTCTAGAATTTGCTAAAAATGCAAAAGCTTAATACCACATTTTTTTCCCTTTAGTTTCTGTGTTTTGTCTGGTGGGAGTATAAAGAGAACAAATGCTTAAATTACTCTGGTTCCTGTTTTGCTCAATACAATTAGCTGCAGAGCAATGACAACATTATGAATTTAGCCATGAAGCAGGGAACTTATAACAACATCCAATAAAGGGAATAATGTATCAACTTTGATTTCCTTACATTAATCTCCACAGTTGTGATTCTGCAACCCATCCTCATGCTCCAGAAGAGCACCCTCTTGCAATGCAACCTGACTATTTGTGTCAGTATTTACTGGTTAACATGAAAGAGGTTTCGGAGGTGAACTCTAAAGTAAAAGATGATGCTTGAATGATAGCAGGGTATTAAACCGGGACATTTCCCCACTTGTGGTGAACAGCTCAGAGATCACAGTCTACAAGGCTAAGCAGTTGATACATGCAGTTCCATTTGTTTGAAAGAGATAGTTTATAAAGTACGGTGGTCATTGATATGAATAAACATGGACTGAGAGTGAAAGGTGCTTGTAACTTGGCATTCCATTTTCCATTTGTGTTTAGGTTACAGCTGAAATCTTTTATGTTAATGAAGGCAATTTGGAACTAGTATTTTGCATTGTACATATGCAAAAAGTCAGACACTGATGTCAAAAACTCAATATTTGCTCAACTTAAACTTATGTCCTTAATGTTTCTCACCAGTCCCAGTTCCCTGTGCATTGTGGAAAGGAGCAACCTCTGAAGCAAGCACTGATGCTCTCACACCTCCCCCCTTCTGTCATCAACAGTTCATGTGTAAAAGGAAGGTAAAATCTGTTTCACTGAACCTCCCTGTAAAACTCCCTTCATTCCTTAAAGAAAACAACACTTCTGTCACTGGGTTTGTGTTGCAGTAGGACTGACAGAAACAGAAATACTACTCTTTGTGTCATGTCTCTATAGAAGACTGGTTATTTCTCCTTTCTGCCTTTCACAAAAGCCTGATGGTTTGAGTTAGGATTAGAAATTGAATTTGATATAGTTGGAGATTGACAGTTAGTCTGTGAATAACTCTAGGAAAAGGCACCTGCTTTGAGATGCTGCAAGGAAGAAGCCATTATAATTTAAAAGGTTGTTTGTTTTAAATGTCACACCTGTTAACAACTTCTTTTCACAAGAAGCTTTTTTCATTAACAGTAAAATTAACAACAATCTTCTTCCATTTCTATTTTAAAAACAAACACAGTTACCCACCTTTTAACTTCGGATTTTCCACAGATGCTATAAAACAAAAGAAAATTCTCAGACACTAATTTTGTGAATGAATAAAGGAATTAAGACTGATCCTAACATCTTTTCTCTTGGTCAATATGCTACCTATGCTATCTACACAGAAGTAGGAGTTCATTTTTTTATGTAGAAAGAAAGTGACACACATACATTGCTTGTTTGGATAGTCTTGTGGTAGATGACTAATTAACCTGCAGATTAAGAGCAGTGGAAAACAAGGTCAGTATATAAGTTATATATGGAGCTTCAACAGCTCCACTATTTTTAATAATGTGAATGAGAAAAGGAACAATATGGGTTTCAGAATGAGCACATATTAAACAGAGGTGGAGGGTATAAGATAGGAATCTTTTGACACCTTTAGTAATTTAGCAGAAGATAAGGATTTTTTTGTCCTTTTTTTTTTATTTTATTGAAAACTTCTAGTATGGATACAGAGGAGGATCCAGTTATGCAAATCTTCCTCGAAAATATGCTTTTTTCAGATAATTTATTATTCTTCATAATTACATTAACTAAATCCAAATTAATTGAACTACCACATTTCTCTTTCTTCGTTATTCATACCTTCATTCTGATGCACTGTGGTAGGTTTTTATGCTTTAGAAAAGAACAGATTCATTTTTCTATAAATTGGCTGTCTATTGTAGGTATTTCTTGCTCAGAATTTCTGTCTGAGAAAATGGAGTCATCTGATGAATGAGTCATCAAGCTTAGCTGTAAAAGGAGTTGAAAATCTTTATGATATCCCAGATTTGGATAAACTTGAGAAGTGGATTCCAGTCAGAAATAAGATCATCTAGCTGCTCTAAAATAAACCAACAAAATGCATGGGTGTTTGGAATAAAAACATATTAAACAATCTACTTTTTTCCTCCCTTTTACACTCTGAATCTTCTATTTTATTTTTGTTTCTCCATCCATTTACCGTAACTTTTAAGCAAGCCCCCTTCCTTGAAAGGACAAACCCTTTAAAAACTGAAATTAAGAATTATCAACCTCTTGTGCTCCTCAACAGCATTTGATCAGATCTCAGTTCCAGAAGACCAAATGGTTGAATGTCTGCTCCACAGCAATTCAGTTGCTTAAGTTACTTTTATTAAAGCAGCGAATCTTTATCTATGGTATTACTTTTTTTATCCTTCTACTGAAGGATAAAATCCTGTCTCAACTGAAAATCAAACCAGATAAATGAGACTCTAAAACTTACAATATTCCACAGGTCTTACCATGTACTTTTACTTCTTTCTTTGCTGTTTTGGCTGTAAAAACAAACAAAAAATTAAATATTGCCTTTTGACGTGATTTAATTTAAAACATTAGGACAGTTAAAAGGTAAGATAAAAAGGAGAGAATATTCACCAGATTCCATTGCTTTTTCTTTCTTGTGTGGTTCTGAAAAAGAAAAAAAAAGTAAAGATTATATTTCTCTTCCTGTAATGCTTTGTTTAATTGCCTTGGACAGTAATTTTTCATGTTACTAGTGGTGATTGGATGTGAGACATTCCCTTGGACTCTCAACTCAGAGAAGTCCTTCTCTGCTTTCCTACATGTCAAAATAAAACCTTTATAGTTGTAATCAGTCTCTTCAGTGGTTTTCCCACTGCATAAACAGGCTGAGATTAGCTCCTGATAATGGACAGCAAAGGATTTAATTTGTATAATAAGGTGCTAAAAAGAAACTATAGAAACAGTGTAGGTTAAAACATCTGCAGTTTTGCTTCAGGGTGGTTTAAATGGAGGCCTGCAACTGTAGATGTTTCAGGACACCTGTGGTCCTTGTCTTTCTTCACTGGAGAGAATAGAGAATAAGCAGAGTATCTAGTTCAGCCACTGTGCTCTACATCCACAGAAAAGGGGACAGGATCCTGACCTCCTTTACAGGAGTGGACAGTGTGGAAGAAATGATTGCTCACTGGAGCTCACTATCAAAACAGGAGCTGGAAACCTGAAGCTGAAAAGCTTCATCCACCTAAACTCTGTACCCTCTATCAAGCTATGCCTGGGATTTACAATTTCTTAATATAGTTTCTGTAACAGCTCTTTTCATCCTGCCAGGATATGCTTCAAAACCTCCTCACAGAAGGAGCAGGCAGCCTGCCATGGGGAGAGACTGAATGTTTCTCTCAGACACCAAGCATCATCTACCAGTCAGTGCTGATGCTCACAGTAGCAGAAAAAATAGTTAAGTTTTTTCTGTTTGCAGATGCTTTTAAACAGCATATGGAAAGGCTCTGCTGAGCAGGTTTGGATCTACATAGGAACATTTCCTAAATTCAAGAGTATCTGAACTGACTGATCACAAGATATATCATAGAATCATTAAATCATAGAATATCCTGAGTTGGAAGGGATATTCTTGAGTTCCAACTCAGAATATTCTATGATTCTATGATTCACAAGGATTATTGAGTCCATCTCCTCTCTCTCCACAGAATAACCCCAAGAATCACACCATGTACCTGAGAACATTATTCAAGTGCTTCTTGAGCTCTGGCAGGCTTGATGCTGTGACCACTTCCCTGGGGAGCCTGTTCCAGCACCCAAACACCTTTGAGTGAAGAATCTTTTCCTAATATCCAGCCTAAACCTCCCCTGACACAACTTCAGGCCATTCCCTTGGGTCCTGTCACTGGTCACCACAGAGAAGAGATCACTGTCTGACCCTCCTCTTCTCCTCACAAGGAAGTTGTAGACTGCAATGAGGTCTCCCCTCAGCCTCCTATTCTCCAGGCTGAACAGACCAAGTGACCTCAGCTGCTCCTGGTATGGCTTCCCCTCCAGACCTTTCTCCATCTTCACAGCCACTCTTTGGATGCTCTCTCTCTTATGCTGTGGCACTCAAAACAGCACACAGGACCTGAGGTGAATACTCTTAAATACATGCTCATTGCTTACCAGTATCTGATGCCTATATTTTCTCCATATTTATTATAGGTTATATTTTTATTAATACTGTGGTATACAGTTGAGCAGCGTTAATGTTTCAACAGTTTCCACTCTAGAATCAAGACATAAAGTTCTATGTTCAAAGGGATTCTGAATGTTGCACCCTCACAAACCTATTAATAAATCTGAACAATCGTTCATTTGAATAAGCAAAAAGGAACAAGAACCTGCCAATAGAAAATTAAATATGTTTATAAACAACATTAATATGAATAATATTCCTCCTATTAAATATTAATTAATAATAAATATTAATACTGACTGCACAGTATTAATACTGACTGCAGTGGGCAACTAAAAGAGGTAAACTTCATGCAGAGTTGCAAAAGTAATTTATATTAGAAAGGGCATACTGATCTAAAATATAAGCCCCCCAATTGTTAAGTTTGAAACAAAATATGTCATTACTGCATGCTCTCACCCCCAATAAGCTTATATCAAGCAACCCGTGAGGTTCTCTCTGAAATAAAACCTCATTTTTTTCTAGGGTTTCAAATTCATCTGAAGAGCCATATTACACACATTTTAAAGAAAAATAGAGTTTCTAAAATAAAGTTTTGCTCTGAGTTCTTAAAAATCCCAATTATTTTCTTTTTTTTTCCCAAAAATATTTATGTAATTTCATCACAATTTCAAAAACAATATCTTTCAGACAAAATGTACACTTTAAAGTATCAAGACTAGCTGACTGAAATAATGGAAATAGCTTTAATATAGTTATATAAAGCCCATTTTAGTGTATTTATTATAAAATTTATATTTATGAAAATTATTATCGATTCTTGATAGACACATTGTAAACAAGAAGGGGGATTTAGTGGAAATGGTCATGGAGCAGGTTCATGTCATCAAAGCAATGAGTCATAAATATGATTTTCCCAACAATATGAAAAAGTGATAGAGAGCAAGTTTACATTAAATGGTTTATTGCCTGAATAAGTATTATATGTCCTTGATGGCATTCTACCTTGGGTGGCAACCCTATATAGGTCAAGGATGAGAAATATTGTAAAAAACTGAGAAGACAAAAGTTTGGGACTCAGTAGTTTGGCTGACTCGATCTTAATTATAACCACAGCTGCAGGTTTGGTTTTGTGTAGCCCAAGTACTCTTCAGACTACCCACTTTCATGCAGATATTCTAGAATTTATTTTGTGAAATGAGAATTTTTATTGGTTTTGTGCAGTTTTCTGTTTTGCTATTGCTCAGAATAGCTTCCTGGAAACTGAAGGAAATATAATTCTGCCTTCAGTTGTTCGGAGGCAATTATTTTTTCCTCTCATTCTAAGATGTGTCAGCTCTCATGAGATCAGGGAACAGTATGATACTAACAGCACTCGGCAAGTGTTTTGGCAAAGTATAAAATAATCCATTTATTTAGCTTTATTTTGATTTTTTATTCAAAACTTCAAACATTAAGGAAATCCTATAGAGTTTCCTTTACAATAGTTTGACTTCCAGAAACATATGAAATGAGATCCTTTCCTATGAGAAATTTTATAAAAATTAATAGCATGGAATTTGACATCAAGCATTTCTGGGAAATCTGACATGTCGGGAAATTTCAGATGATTCCTTCTTTGAAATTTGAATGGAACGAACTTAAACCTTTCATTACCTGAGCCATAAATTTCAAGAAACTTCAGACCTAGATTTTTCCTGTTTGTTACAAGTTATTATTGCTTGATCTCAACGTCTTTCTCTTTGCTTTTTTTTACTTCCAAGTAGTTAGTATGACATAGGAAAGAATATTGCCAACTGTAGAAACATTAGACATTTGCCATGAGATTTGTCATTCTTTTTATATTTAACCATTTTTGCCTGTATATGAGACTGTACAACATGTTTTTATTTCGGGAAGTTTTGTTGGTAATATATTATTTTTCTACCATGTAGGAATTCAGATTTGGTTTAGTTTGACATTTCATCGTCTTTATATACTCTGATGCTTTGAACAAATGACTTTTCTTTTTTTTTTTTATGAAAACTGGTAATGTATTAGATGCCCATAAAACCATATAAATGTGTTTTTTTTCATTACTAGTAACATACTCCTAGGCAATCCAGAGTAGCTGGAAGATAGAAGAGAACCTGAACCTGCCTCTACACTCTTCCGCAAAGCACAAATGGTGCTGAAAAGCATCTAGGCTGGTAAATTCATTGTGGTGCACTTTAATCTTTACTACCAGGATAGACAGTCACAAACTGGGACTCTCTGCCATCCCTTAGAAGAGAATAAATTGAAATCCCACATAATTTATATAGCTATGTGTGCACATGTATGCATGTGTGTGTACGTGTCATCTCCTAATTCAGATAGAGCATTCGTGTTCAAGAAGTGTTCAGGAAAATAAAAATTGTATGAGGAATGACACAGATTGGGAAAAGTTTAAATAAATGGCACATCAAGTGGCTTTGCTATTGTGCAGAATACACCACATTCAGTTAACCAATACCATTTTTTTTGCACTCAGTAGATGCATAGAAATGGTGTTTAACTGCTGCACTGTTACTTAACTTTTACCACAAATATTCCAGTCACTCTTGTCATATTCTATACAGTGTCTTGAATACTTAAATCCTTAGACAACCAGAAAGTTAGCCTAGTCTTATAGTTTTGTAATCTTGGTTTTATAGGCTATATGCTTGTCATTTCCCTTCTCAGACCTTCATATCACGTTGTTTAATTAAAATCAAATGAGACAGAGTGGTAAAGCTCTCCAAGATATCCTTTCATTAAGAGTAGTGTGAACATAAGCAACCAGACACAGGGAAGATGCCTTTAGTTCCTTCTGGTGGAAGGTGGAAATTTTGCAATATGAGTTCAGTCACATTGTTAGATCTGAGATAATCCCCATGAGAAAGTCTTGCATCAAACTAGGTTTTTCCATTTCTCCTGCTCCCAAGAAGAATGTATTCTACTATAATTCCCTCCTATTCTTACTTTCTAGATCAATGTAGAAAACCTCACCATCATTGGACACTTTGATTCATAAAGATAATGAACTGTACAAATACATTTCTTTCTGGAATAAGAACACAGAAAGGAAATCCCTTACTTGGTGAGATCATGCCACACATATAATTGTTCCTCTATAAATCATCTTTTGAGGAGGGTAACAAACAGTTTTTCTGATGGATTTTTGTGAAGGAAAGGAAAGCATTTGACAATTCTCTGTATCAGCATCTTTATATGAGAATTCTACTATCATGTTGGGAAATACCTGAGAAAAATTTTACGCAAATAAAGAAAGAAAAGAGGCCTGGAGGAAATGAAGTACTTTCAGTTTCATCTATTTGGTCTGTAGCTTTTCTTCACAGGCAGAAAGCAGTGGCATCAAAAGTGAACATCATAAATTCTAGAGGTAGTATGACCATATATGGTATAGAAAAGTAAACCACACCACTGCTCCCCTGTAAGTCAAGTGATGTTTTCATAACAGTCT